CACTACAATGGCACCCGCCGCAAGCTCGTGCCGCATTGTTAAACGCACGCACCTCTTTCTCCCGAAATGGTTCTCCGCTGCGCCCCCTGCGCCTCCCTGAAGTGCGGCGGAACCCCCCACTCCCATATTAAGTTTGCGTAAGACTTTAATTGTAAGATTAAAAGAAATGAGGGCTCGATAAAATAATGTTAGTCAATGGAAAACTATGGAGTTTATTATACCAAAGAAAAATTCTTCGGTGGACCAGAGGTCCATGGTCATAAAAGAAGTGGACCTTTTACAAAAGAAAAATATTCACACGCAAGCCTATGAATTACTCCCTCCATCTCAAATGGTTTACATCATTTTGAAGAACGCGTAAAATATCATCTCATTTAAAATCATTTTATTTACAAATTAATAGAGAAATAAAGATTAAAGTATAAATTATACCGTTCAAAAGTACATAAAAAATTTTAAAGAAAATATGCGACAAGATTGTTTTATTTTATCAAATGGTTAACCAAAACGAGTAAATAAATAAAAGTTATGGAGAGACCAAAATAGTAACTGTGACATTCTTTTTCAAACATAGATAATATGTGAGAAACTCCACATTTTAAATATGAACTTCGGAACCATGTATGCATTACCTATACCAAAATGGTTTTTAAATCTTTGATATTAGAAAATACGACTTTAAACTTTTTTGTATCAAAATAAAATTTATAATATTAAAATGTGTCACTATTTAATAATTAATACGGAGTATAAAAACAAATATAGAATGTCAATACTCGATAAACAAAGTCAAATTGTAGAATTGTAAAGTACCAAGGGTTGAGGGTTCTATATATTTAAAGAATAGAAACATAGGAGATCTTATTTATTTTTATATAAATTTAATATTTTAATTCTATTTTGGTAGATGTTTTATACAGAACATACTCCCTCCGACTCTAAAAAGCTTCATGTTTATTTTTGTGAAATTTGCACTAAATAGGACTAAAACATAATGATTTTTCTAATGTAAGACTTAAACTTTTTTATTCTCTAAATAAGACTTAATAATGACCTAGTGGGATGAATAATGTCCAGTAATGATGGACATTTGACATTTACTTGAGTAATGACTACTTCATAAGGACCAAAAGTCCTATATTGGAAAAAAAAAATATGGTCCTATATTGGGAAAGTCATTATGTTTTAGTCCTATTTAGGTAAATTTCTCTTTATTTTTTGCGCATCATATCCCTAAATAACTTCTATATATATCTTTAATGTCTAAGATTCACCATATTTCTCCTTTATTACGGATAGAAACTGTTTTGAAGGTATTTTAAATAATTTAGTTGGGGTAAAAGTGTTTTATAGAATGTGTAAAAAATAAAACAAGAAGTTTTACTTAAGACGGACGGAGTATAAAATGAGTTCTATCTCGCATCTAAGGTCTATCATTCCATCACGAATCTTTTCACATAAACAAATTTAAAACTTCCGGCCGGCCGACGGTCAGACCTGAGGGGGGCCTCGGGGATGAGGCTCATACTTTTATTACATAAACAAATTAATACATTTTAAAAGTAAAAAAATAAATGCATACTTACATAAATATTTACTCCCTTTACACGTAAATGTTCTTCACATGTTGACTTGACACACTAATTAAGGAGTACTAAAAAAAGTGTCAAATTATCAAAAGAGGACGTACTATAAACTTTTAGAGATTCTTTTCTTATTAAAAAAGTAATAAAAAAGTAAATTACTGGTAAAATAGTTGAAATTTATCCTTAAAAAGTAGACTAAAAAAGAAAATGGGAAAAATATTTCTGGACAAATTAAAAAGGAAAATGGAAAGAACATTTTCAGACAGAGGAAGTACTTTTTATGCACGAATGTCCATATTTGTTACGAGTATATGGATTTTAAGTACATACAAAAACCTATCTAGTACATAAGGGCATTTGCAATGGGGACTGTCAATTCCCGCCGCGCCGGAAGAAGAGGAAGGCCAACCGGCGATCCTGCAGTGAGGAATACCCGCCAGGCCGGATGAGCAACAAAAAAATATCATGGACCGGTGCGTCAGACTGTCACAATGAACGGCCGTCGCGAATTTGACTCGGAAAACCGAAAATCTGCCCGGCTTTGCGCCGGGCCTGGGGCATGCACCGCGGGTTAAATTGCGGCCCTCCTTCTACAATGGCTGACTGGTGCGGCGTGGCGTGGGGAGGTGTGCGGCGCGACGGACCCCCCTCCCCATTGTAAATGTCCTATCCTAATGCTTAGTTGTATATAGAGAACTCAAAAGAAAAGAAAAATGCTAGGGATACACCAAAGGTGTACTCCATATGTCTCCCACCCCCTCCTTCTCCACTAAAAATGGCAAAAAAATTTAAAAAAAAATAAGTAAATAAAAATCAAATAAAAATATGTGATGGAGAGGAGGGTGGTGTACATTTGGGGTACACTTTTTGGTGTACCCTAGCATTACTCAACTCAAAAATATCAATATTCCATCCATCTCAAAGTTTAAATGTTATAAAATAATGTGACCTTAGTTTGAGATAAACTAATATTAAGTTATGGAGTATAATTTAAGATTAGTATCATTAAATCTAGTTTGAAGAAATCTAATTCTAGGACATTTTGCATCTAGTTACAAATACTAATAATCCATTACAAAGTAGAGACAATGAAGAATTTAACTTAGAAAGAAGAGAGATTATTCTATGGCCCGTTTGATAACAACCTAATATTAACATTTTGAATTATTTAAAATGATACAAATTAATTTTGAAAATACTAAAATCAAATATTAATGTTAAACAGTTTTTCCAAATTGCCAAGCAAACACTATATATATATATCAATTTACCTTAAAATATATATCCATAACTACCATTATTTATACAATTAGGAAGTGTTGAATTTGTTGGAATTGAAGGCAATAGTGAGTGTTACTTAGTAGTACTAAAGTTTAATAGAGGAATGAGAATATATGTCGGACCAAATATGTTGAAACGCCTCAATAATGTGGCCGTGATACTCGCCGGAATTCAAAGAAAGATAACAAGCAAGAAGCTCTTCCAAATCCTTTGAAGATTTTATCTTGTTCTCCACAATCATCTCCATCATCGATTCCCTGAAATCCTTCTCCGGATCAAACGACGCCTTCACCACCGCAAAGCTCCCGGAAAAGCTCTGCTTCGACGGCTTCCCCCCTGCCGGCGATGAAGACGAGCTTTTCCGGCCACGGCTCTGTAGTTTCCGGTTTCCGATCCTCGGGGAGTTTCCCCGGAGCTTCACTCCCGTCCGGGTCTTGATGCAGACCGACCCGACCTCCGTCTCTCCTGCCCCGCCGGAGTTTCTTGATTTCCCGGGGAGTTTAGTGAGGATCGGCGGGAGGTCCAGCTCGGAGACGCTGAGCTCCTCCGTTTGGGATCTCCCGTTGACGTCGAAGACTATGTCGGAGGAGCTGAGAGTGGTCGACGGCGACCATAATTCAGGGACATCGGAGTCGAGCTCCGACGTCGGAGAAGGCCTGTAAACGGTCTTTCGCCGGGACCTCCGCCGCGGCGATGTTCTCGGAGGATCAAGAAAGCAGGAATCGGCGGGAGGTTTTGCGCCACCGGCGGGCTGTCGGGTAAAGTAGTAGGATTGTCTGGGCTGAGAAATGGGAGGTTTGGGAGAGCAAGCGGGTCGGGTTTGGGTGGTCTTCTTGGTGGGTTGATGGGAAGAGGAATGGGTTCTGGATGATTTGTTGGTCATATCCCTGATCTTGTAAAACCAGGCATTGGGAATCATGTTGGATAATCTGAATCTGTGGTTGCCCATCCAATTAAGAAACTTTCACTTTTCTCTTTCCCCAGAAACTGCAGAGCTTTGCTTAGCTTACTGTCATGGTAGAAGAAAGTTGGTTCAGAAATAAAGGCAGGGGCAAGATTTATACTACTAGCCTCCCTCCCACCATATAATTCAGAGAGCCTATTTTAATGTGATTTTAACTAGTGTTTTATGCTGTAGTCTAGTATTCCTTGTGGTCTAGTCTAGTATTTATGTTTCATCTTAAATTCTATCATGGTACTGGAGTCTTTTTTAGCTCACTTCATTTCATTTGTTAAAATGTCTCTCTAGACGTTCATTCCTTGAATCCTAGTCTTTAGTTCAATTGTACATGTGGAATGCATACCCAACGATCTGTGGTCCATTTGACCGTACCTGATTGCTCGTTTAGAAGTTCATATTCAGTAGCTCATGGTCCTTTAGGTGTTGGCGCTCAATACATATATTTATTTTATGTATAAAGGTCTATAAAATAATCATAGACCTAAGAAACACAAAAGAATTCCCCCAAATAATATACCACTATGTAATATTTGTTACAACTCTTTCCAATTTAAAGAGACAAAATGACATCCAAGGTCCATGTGGTCCAGTGGCATTATGGCGATTTTCCAAATAGAGGGGATATGTTCGAATTCCAGTAAGAATATAAACTCTATATGCGTTAATAAATTAATAATGTATGAAGAGATATTGTATTCTAATAGAATTACTAGTGTTTAAGAAGAGACAAAATGACAAAAGTTCAATGGACCAATCATAACGAGGAGAGATACACATCGATTCGTACACATTTACATGATATGCCTAACACACAAGATCATGGAAGTTTCATCCTAAAACTATAAGCAATAAGAAGAGCAAGAGACCATATATTTATATGTGCGCACTCTTTTTATTCTTTATAATTCTTGCCAATTACACATGATGTGGGTACGCCTTGTAACAGCCTAATAGACTAGAAGTTCAGACGACCTAGATCAAGATTTACTCACGTACCATGATAAAAATCAATTGAGCCAGTCTAATTAGAAAGTATATAAGGAATAAAATCAATTCCCGGCACGTGCAAGAGCTTTGCGCATGCATCATTGTTGAAGAGAGTCAAATTGGAGCATTCTCCGATCCCCCTTTTTACACGTCTTCTTTTTCATCTAAGCTACACACCAGAGCTAGAAAAATGTGTATCTTTATTTGCATCATCATCATCACTAGGTGCACACTTTGTTTGATATGCCTCGTAGAGTCATAGTTACTCCAAGTCTCTAACATTATGGAGTATAATTAATGCCAGTGAGGAAAGGGAAAAGTGAAGAGACAGAAGGGGTTGATTGTAGAATGAGGAACAGTAAGCTGTCATTTGAATAGGTGATTTTTTGGAGTGGCTTTATTAATTGCGAGTGCGGAAAGAAGGATGTGTACAAGTTTCTATTTATGAAGCTCTCACCACAACCACATAAAATTATTTAATTAATTAAACCTTTTCCAAGATGAAAGTAAGTAATGAAAGGCTATGATATTGCTTCAGCAACAAAAAAAAATGTTTGATGCATGACTTAGATTTTATTCAAAAATATTTTTATATTTACTCTCATTTTTTCTAAATAAATTTATGATTTGATATTCCCGAGTTTAAAAATAATATCCGTAATAAAGAATAAATTTTTATGATTGATACTCTTTCTATCCCATATATTGAGATTGAATGTACCATGCGAAATTGTTTGACTTTCTTGTTTTGCCTTTGTTAGATTGGTTAATAAGGAAGAATACTCTCCCTGCTCAGCGGTTCTGAATTTATCGTTCCAACTTGATATCGTGAAGTTTTAAAAATGTTAAAATGTTAAAAATGAATGGTTGGAATTTGATTAGATCCGCACATTCTTTATTTTATTAGAAAAGTAAAAAAGTGAAACATTTATGGAAAAAAGACCAAACTAGGACTAAAACATTGAGAACATACCAAAATAGGACTTCCATGTTTTTATTCCCGAAATAGGACTTACCTTACCAAACATGGTCATATACATTACCAAAAAAGTATAGTAATTTGCACAAGTACATTGCCACATTACCACAATGCAAAGTCACATTACCACAGTGCAAAGTCCTATTCTGGGAAAAAAAACATGAAAATCCTATTTTGGTATTTTTCTCTATGTTTTAATCCTATTTAGGATGATTTCTAAACATTTATTTAATGCTCCGTAATTCCTTTAATTTGTCCTATAACTAATTAAAGTCTCGCTGTTGATAATGAAGCTCGATTGAATTTATTTTAATCTGTTTTAATTAGATTTTGGTACAAATTTTTAAAATAAATTTATGTATTTAAAAATCACATAAATTTCTTTATAAAGTAAAATGTGACATAACTATATATATATATATACACACACACGTAGTATATATATGATTTTTAACAAATGATTATCGAAAATAAGTTGGAATTTGGAAAGAAGAATTTTTAGCATTTTAATAGGCATTAAATGTTCCCACTTGAAAATAATTATATATCAATAAGTCCACTATTAACGATTTTTACCGTAAATTAATAGATATGTATTCTCTTAAATGAGATAAATATTTTGATAAATTATACTCCAAAAATAGTAGAGGGTGAATGAGAAATTGATTCTCAAATTGACCCGTTAAATAGAAATGTATGGTTGACGAATGCATATGCATATTTTATTGAAATAATCGTCTGTCACTTTATACAATGTTTAAAATTAGTTTATTTTTATAGAGTTAACTGGTCATTAATCTCAAATTTTTTGGACAAATTTTAAATTGAGCGTAGTGCAATGAATGTGTTAATGGTTATTTAATTACCATCAACAAGCTACTAATGTCTCACTAATGAATAATATTTATTATTATTATTATTATTATTATTATTATTATTATTATTATTATTATTATTATTATTATTATTATTATTATTATTATTAGTGCTTGAAAGGTTACAAGATGAAACCTTGTACCTATTAAAGTAGAACTATTCTCCTTCTACTTTTTTGAATGCTTCATACGTGAGAAAGAGGGAGGAAAGAATAAACCTTTCTTGTTTACTTCTTCAGAAGAGCTCTTGATTTTTCCCGGCCAAAAGTTCCCGTGATCCCTTTCAAATTTTAATTTTCAGTACGTAACACCCCTATATTGTTCTTGTTCGTTGGCGTGTGATTAGTCTGTACAATCACCATACACAATAACGGTTTTATCCTGTAAAGAGAGAACCCACATTTATGTTTATTAGCTTAGTGAGAACTTTCAATCCGGCCACATACAACATTTTAATATGAACAACACCACATGGAGATTCTAAAAAGAGGAAAGAAACACCTGGCGAGGTTTAGGTAACCGTGAAGGGGCAGCCTGCTTCATTTATTTAGTCAATACTCTGTATGGTGGTGGCATATGTTTTCAAGGGATGGAGAATTCATGACTTATCACTTCCCTTAAATATGAATTGCATGAATGTATACAAATTAGTGAAACTATCAACTTTTTACGCCAATTCATATTTCTAACCACTAGACACTGCCCACTAGGGTATAGCATTAGGCTACTCCCTACAAGTGACTACTCGATCAATCCCTCCAAACTTTGATTCTCACCAATTTTGTTTTGGTGTGCAATTACATGAAATTTGGGTAATTTATTTTAATACGGAGTAATAAAGAAAGGATATATATCAATACCATATCTCTTCTTCAACAAGCTAGAAAATGACGTACATAATACTCCCTCCCTCGTAAAATCATCTTCCCATTTGTGTTTACGAGATTTGACTGCATATATTTTCAATTCAATTTATTTAATTGTAGGTGCAAAATTAAAAAATAAAATTTATATATTTAAAAACTACGGAGTACATCAAAAGTTCTACAAAACAACTGGTGACAAGACTATTATTTTATCAAATAACTAACGAATATAGGTAAAGAAAGTGATTTAAGTTTGACCGTGTGAATAATAACTTAGAAGATGGTTTTAGAACGGAGGGAGTAGTACTGTAATTTTGAGATAACACAGTCACAATGCATCTTCAATTCAATTTTGCGTCCAGTGTGTTCGTTCAATTTGATGTTTTTGAGTCAAATTAGATAAACTTTGAAACTCAATTAAATAAAAATGTTAATGGAAATACTCCATATATATAAGGGTGTAATTATTATCAATATTATTGGATATTTTTATAGTGAAATTTGCACTGAATAGGACTAAAACATAAGTCATTTCCTAATGTTGGACTTAAATGTTTTTATTCCCTAAATAAGACTTAATAATGACTAGTGAGATAAATAATGTTCAAGTGATGACAGACATTTAGTTGAATAAAGACTAATAGATAATGACCAATGGTCCTATATTGGAAATAAAAACATATGGTCCTATATTGAGAAAAATCATTATGTTTTAGTCTTACTTAGGTAACACTTCTTCTCCTGATGCCTCACATCAACCACAATGATTACACTTAAATTTTTTTATTTACTCCATAATGTTCACCTAAATTTTTATTTGAATGAAATTACATCTTTTAATTTAAATATAAAATTTATTATTTTTCCGATTATTCAATTTATGAATTTTTATAGTTATTATACTTTATTTTTTTTAATATTTCTTTTTTTAATTATATAAAATATTTGATCAAGTTTTTGGTCTAATATTTGGTCTAATATTATTTGTTTAATTTTTTATACGATTTTATTTAAAGAAATCATCCTAAATAGGAGTAAAACATAGAGAAAGTACCAAAAAATAAGTTTCATGTTTTTATTCCATAAATTGGAGTTCGCACTATTATAATGTGGCAGTGTACATGTGTATATTACTATACTTTTTGGTAATGTACATGGTCATGATTGGTAATGTAAATGCATTTTAAATCCTATTTTGGGAATAAAAAATGGAACTTCTATTTAGGTATATTTTCAATGTTTTACTAATATTTTAGTCTTTTTCCCTTTTATTTACCCCCGATCAATAAAAAAGAAAAAATAATAATAATAATTACTTCATTGTTTTGTCTCACTTATATTTTCCTTCCAAATTCAACTTTTTTTCTTTTACTTTTTTATAGCAAAAAAAAAGTTGAATTTAAAATAGAAAAAAACAAGATATAATAATTTAAACTTAAAATGTGTTTCTTTACAAAAGTTTAATAACAAAACATTGTTCGTTCAAATTTATTTGAAGTGTTTGAGTGAAAAAATAAAGTGAGACATAACATCAAAATTATATATGCCATACCAGTCTCGTTGGGTAGATCTTGTGAATACATATGCCCAACGGCACACAGAGTATTATTTATCAAGTAATGACTCTTACATGCAATAAGTTAAAGGAAAAAATAGACATTAGTCAACTTGACGTTGCCAACAACACTACAAAAAAAGAAGACAATACCGACAAGGGTCAATATGTCGCTAATGGTTAAATATCTCTCGCTATTCGCTTTTACCGACAGATAATTGTCTGTCGCTAAAAACCCCGTCAGTAAAAGTGTTACCGACAGATAAAATATACTGTCGCTAAAATAGTGTAATAGCAACAGACCAAAGATGTCGCTAAAAAAGAGAGAAGTACCGACAAAACATATATGTCGCTAAAAAATGAATTACCGACAAAACAAAGTGTGGGTAAATCCTTCTTTCCTGTCGATAATAGTTTATTTTGACCAACATTTACATTTATTATAACTGTTACTAATACCAACTATTTAAGTGATATTAAATAATTTCATTGACAGATAAAAAATAATATTCATACTTGTATTAACAACAATACATAATACGATAACATTTCGAAGGGTTACAACTAACCCATTTACTAGAATGTAAACCAACATCTCAAAAGTAGTTCATCATTTAAGCTAAAGTATAAACAGTCAAAGTGAACTAAAATAAAATACGCATCGATATGAAAGATATAGTCCAAAGCTTTAATGCTGATCACTGTATACATCTTCAAGTTCATCGCTCTCAGCTTCATCATCTTTGTTCCATCGATCCTCATCATGACTTTTCCCAGTGGTTGTATTACCACCAGTTGTAAGGTCATCGATTTCAGATTGATTGAGTTTTGAACCCTATGCAAAAAAAACACATGATAACTTAGTTACATATTTTGCACCAAATTTACCTTATACTCATAATAGGTGGCATAACTTTAAACTATATAATAAACTAAACAAAAATCAAATGAAATATATGGGTAGTTAACAGTAATAAATAGAGACTAACCAGGCTATTTAAAAGCAATGACACTACATCTTCTAAATTTTGGAGTCTCTCATTTGTTTCTTCATGCTCTTGTTCAATTTTCAATCTTTTTGCTTTCTCCTCCTTCAAGGCGCACCGTTTAGTATAAGATCGAGGCACTCTCACTCCCATACCAAAGGTCTTTGCATATCCATTTTTGTCTTCTCCCACTACCTTTTCAAAAACTTCATCACGAGCAGGTGCACCAACTTCTACATCTTTCAAAGCAAAGATTTATAAACTAGAATTCACGATTAAGCACATAAGCATCTAGGAAACACATAAACCAGCTTGAATAACAAGGAAAAATTGCACAGATTTTTTTAAATGACACTTATTAAGATCAGATTTTTCTTAAAATCAGCACTTTAAGCATCAAAAACATCATATAAACATCATGAGATGCTTATAAATGTTGTCCCTAAGAAAGATATATCAATAATATTCCATACTTCAAGCAACAAAGCACTCTAAATGACCAAAAATCAGCATGAGTACGGCAGATTTTTGAAAAATCAGCAAGTACAAATCAGTTTTTTTGCATATTTAGCTTTTAAATTATTCAAAATCAGCACTTTAAGCATCAAAAACATCATATAAACATCATGATATGCTTATAAATGTTGTCCCTAAGAAAGAAATATCAATAATATTTCATACTTCAAGCAACGAAGCACTCTAAAGGACAAAAAAGTTAGCATTAGTGCAGATTTCAGAAAAATCAGCAAGTACAAATCAGTTTTTTTTGGAATATTTAGCTTTTAAATGCTTCAAAATCAGCATACAATTCACACATAAGAAATCCATACATGTTGTACTCATAAAAATATGAACAAATCAACTTTCTGGTATTATGCATATCAAAGTTACACACTTATCAATGCATACTGTAAACATTCAGGAGGCGAAGGATCCAAAAAAGTTCATAGCACTGAAAAGGTCTTTGATAGGAGTGTATTTTAACATCAATGAAATACGGAGTACAATTTATATACATTGAAACTTGTTCGTGTTAAACAACCAGGAAGTATAATGAATCAAAAACTGTAAATAAACTACCTGGTGATAATATGTAGGCATCCATGTAAGAATAATAAAATTTCCCCAATTGTGACAGAAGTGAGACACTATCAAAGCCCAATCAGGTGGTTTGGACAAAATTTGTCTCCATGGAATAGATTTTACAGGTTGTTTGGAAACACTGTTGCTAAGACGAAGAAGGCGACATACCTGATTAGGGTGTGACGATTGAAGAACACGCTCAGATGAAGGAGACGAAGAGGAGTTCCGAACTTCCGGCCGCGTCGTAGAGGAGTTCCGAACTTCCGAGCTTCCGCGATGACGATGTCCTGTTCTCGATCGATGAGTCTCTGTGGCCGGCGGACGATGTCCTGTTCTCAATCGATGAATCTCTGTGACCGGCGGTTGATGTCCTGTTCTCGATTGATGAGCCTTTGTGGCCGACGGTTTTAGGAGATTAGAATTAGGCACTGGTGGCAACTAGGGAGTATATTGAATGTATGTTTATGCAATTAGGTTTTTGTTTTATTATTATTATTATTATTATTATTATTATTATTATTATTATTATTATTATTATTATTATTATTATTATTTCCGTCTACACCTTTACGGAAAGGTCTCGACGAGACACACAGGGGTCCGATCAGTCAAAGACCCATCGGGATCCATCTCCGACCCAAAATCTTGCTTTTTAGATCGTTTATTTTGCACTTTTGTCTTTTTGGGTTTTTCACACTTATTTACAATTTTTTACTCTAAGTTAAGATATTTAAATTAAATTTTAATATTACTAAAATCAATATCGACAGATAAAACTTTGTTGCTAAAACTATAAAAAATACTGACAGAAAAATATTTGTTTCTAATACTATAAACAATATCGACAGATATATTTTTTGTTGCTAATACTATTAACAATACTGACAGATAAAGTTTTGTCGCTAAAACTATGAGCAATACTGACAGATAAAATTTTGTTGCTAAAAAGATAACCTATAGCGACAGATATTATCCTTTCTGTAGATCAAATAGTTTTTGTCTTCAAATAATTTTATCTGTCGGTAATATTCCCTTTTTAGCGACAAATAAGATTTCTGTCATTAAGGATCTGTCGGTAATGCCCTCTTTTTTTGTAATGCAAGGATCAGGCGGCAATAGCAGCGTGATGCATTACACATAGCCTAATTTTTTTTATACTCGTATAACTAAAGATCTATCTAGTCTAAAACTAATCAAATTTTGTCATATGGAAATCAGTGATTGATGGATGGTTTGATCTTGGATGTGTAGGTCATCCATTATTGAGCTAAAATGAAGAAGGGATATTATATTGGGCCAGGAGAGATCTCAATCGGCCGACACTCACTAAAACCTAGCTAGAGGGCAATAATAATAATGCTGCAAATTGAAACTAGGGTGATAGCATTTTAGAAATTTGGATTAGAGCAGCTACAAAAAAATTGCGTTGAATTATTTTGATTTTTTTTTGTTCTATCGAAGACTTTTTTTTTTAATTTTTTTTTGAAACGTTGAAGAGTACTTGGTCCGTCCCTGAGTGTTTGTCCACTTTTGACTTTTGGAATTGTTTGACTTATCAAATTCTCTCAATATGTAAGCCTAAAAATAGTCATGTGTGATCTTGTTTGATTCGTCTTAACATATAGATTATTAATATTTAATTTTTATAATTTTTTAATATACAAATTACAAGATAAAATGGATTAAAGAAGTGCATTGTATGATGTGTAAAAATAAAAGTGGACAAACACTCAGGGACGGAGGGAGTATTTTATAAGACTAAAAAAAATTAAACGTGATAATAAGGTGTACGTCACACCAAGGTTGTGTACAATAATTCCTTGCGCGCCTAGCCGGATTGACTCGGTGGTTTCTATTCTTTTTTCTTTGAAAGCAAGTGATTCCATATTTTTGGTAATAGCCTTGCTTCTATCTGTATATGTATGATGTGACTAATTAGATCTAGTTAAGAGCACTGGAAACACATGTACCGTACCGGGCTTCATCCGGTGTTTAACGCCGTTAGGGCATTAAACGCCCCACTGCATCGTTATAGGGGTGTCATCTCATTTGCGTTGAACGTTTAACGCGAAAAAGAAAGAAGAATTTAGCCGTTGCCACCTTCCCCCAAATAGTCCAAAATATGGCCGTTGGTCAATTTATAATAAAAAATATTTTTTAAAAATTTCAACTATAAATAAATACCCCCTTATTTTTTAAAAAAATAAAGAAATCACACAAAATATGAATAAAACATATAGAAAGTACCAAAATAGCAGCTACATGTTTTATTTCCAAAATAGGAGTTCACACTGTGATAACGTGACACTGTATATAAACATTTCATTATAGTTTTTGGTAGTGTATATGCTCGTGATTGCTTGGTAAATGCATTTTAACTCCTATAAAAACATGGAACTCTTTTTTTAGTATATTTTTAATGCTTTACTCATACTCTAGTCTTTTTTCTCAAAAATATACACACAACAAATCATCATTCTCTATACAACTCATCCAAAAAAATATTCTATATTCTCAATTATTCTCTCTACAATCCATTCAAAAAATAGGATCATCTTCATCTGACGATGAGAGAAGAGCTCTCATATTTCACTCTTTCTCAGCGGATTGTTACCGATGGCAGGGGCGGATTCACCTTCTGGAATATAGGGTAGCTGCTCCCCGTCAAAATATTTTTTTTTTTTTTAGTTTCAAGTATATTGCCCCTAGAAAAAAATAAAGACTTTAATGGACCAGTCTAGTAAATAAAATGTCCAGCTAATTGTCTAAAGCCCAATCCTAAAAGCATTTCAAATAGACAAATATTACTTCTGATGGATATCGGGTCTGATGGACCCGACTCCAGGCCCAATGAGGGCCCATAATAGCACGAGACGTATAAGGCCAGGTGGGGGTAACGGGCCGTGCCCGATACCACGGGTGTGGCAATGGAAAAAGACGGCCCAATCATGGATTAAATCAAGGTGACCCAGTCCAAGAAAGGAATGGGACACGTGGCCCACATCATTAAGTTGTGGACGAGATGGGAAGAGAACGAGACCGAAAAAGAGGGGATCACAACCCCATGATCTCCAGAATTTCTCCCATTTTGTATAATTTTAATTGCAATATTAGAAGTACTATAAAAGGGGGGAGAACCCGCCATCGTAAAGGGGAGGAAGGGATTCCATAATTAATCAAAGAATATTATCGAGTAATTATATCTTTCTGATTCATATTACGTTCTTGGTCCGCCATCTGATCAGGTTAATCCCATCATTGGTGCTTCCATTGAGAGAAAAACTGTGAGATAAAGCTGTGAGATTATGGCCGGACGAAGGACGAGACGTAACACCGCTGCTTCCGCCCAGTCGACGGTGAGAAGTGACAGCCCGGAACAGGGTATGATCGTTCCTGTCAATGGGTTGGAAACAGCGTTGAATAATGTGGCTAACATGATGGCCAACATTATGGAACGGTTGGATAAGGCTCTCCCTGGTCCATCCGGTACCCGGGACATCCCTGCCGGGCAACCCCGCCAGGTCCTGCGTACTGCGAGTTCTCCCATCCTCCAGGAGCTTCATGATCTAGAGGAGGTCAAGAGGGAGAGACAGGCCGTTGCTAGACGCCGGGTGGAGGAATTGGCCCGAAATAGTAAGGTGAATGGAGATTGGGCCAAGGCTGCAAGCCAGGTCGTCGGCAATGGAAACGAAAACCCGCGGGGAACTGTCTTTGAAAGGATATCTCGCCAGAAAGCTCACGTTAGTGAGAGGCTGGGGAAGAATCCGGACAAAGCACCCCAGGGTTGGATACGACCCCAGGCCAGCCAGGTGGCGTCTTCTAAGCGCGAACCCCGGCAGCGAAACGGCCGCGGTGGTAGCCAAGCGCCGGTCCGGTCATTGGTGGTTCTGGATGAGGACGAAGTTCAAAGCCAAGTCAGGGTCCCAGCGCCACATCGTCTGGGGCCACCGGTACCGGAAGCTGGCGAATTCCAGGATCTGAGGCAGCAAATCCAGGAGATGCAGAGGAAGATAAACAGGGGACGAGTATTCACTACCCGGACGAATACTCCCTTAGCCCCGGAGATCTTTGCGGAACCATACTCGCAGGGATTCAAGATGCCGTTCGTTAAACGTTATGATGGGGAGTCGGATCCCCAGGAACATATAAATAGCTATGTCCAGGTGATGATTGCCGTTGATGCCAGCGACGCATTGATGTGCCGGTGTTTCTTGCAAACAGTAGATAGCAAGGTGGCGGATTGGGTGAATCACATTCCTGCCGGATCGATCCGGACATGGGATGAATTGGGATTGCGGTTCTTGGATCATTTTTCCGGGAACTGCCGTCCCAAGAAGCATTTCACTCATCTTGCTTCAGTGCGGCAGAAGCACGGAGAATCCTTAAAGAATTTTCTTATCCGATGGAGAAAATAGTCCAGGTAGGTTAAAGGAACCGACGACAAATCCAGGTTAGCCATGTTCACGTCGGCATTGCAGGACGGTCTCCTTCATACTGATCTCACGACTCATCCCCCGGATACCTTTGAAGAAGCAATGGTCCGGGCCGGAAGGTATGTGACCCTGGAGGAGAGAAAGGAGGAGAAGAAAGAGAAGACTCCTAAAGAAGAAGAGAAGGCGGGAAATAAGAAGCCGTTCAAGAACAAGAAGCAGGGTTTCCCGGATGGCCCAAAGGGCACAAACCCTGGGACCCCGGAAAAGCACAAATCTGCCAATCCAGTCTTCACGTTGCCGGTGGCTGAGGTCATGGCCCACGCCACACAGCAGGGACTCATGACTTATCCGACCTATTCTCAGAAGGTTTGCAATGTGGAGGATACTGGAAAATGGTGTGCTTACCATCGCAAGAACGATCACAATACAGAGGAATGCTATACTTTGAAGAATGAGATGGCGAGGCTAATCCGCCGGGGCCATCTGAAGAAGTTTGTACAAGATGGCAAGGCGGGAAATCCCGGGAACGCTCAGAATGGGAAGCGTCGAGATAAGGAGGTAGCCCAAGCTGAGGCACGGGAAAAACGCCACATCGGGCTGGAAGATGAAGAGGAGGATTCAGAACCCGCACCGCACCGCCAGAAGAGACACCACAGGTGTAACTTCATCATCGGAGGGAATACTAGCGGGGATTCAGCCACGAGCCGGAAGAAGTGGGCCAATGCGGCGATGGTCAACAAGGTGCTGGTCCCAGAAGGTAAGAGGCTGAAAACTGAGCCAATTGTATTTTCTAATGCTATCTGCCAGAAACAGGGGTCCCCCATAGGGACGCCCTGGTGATTACTATTGATATAATGGACTTACTGATCCATAAAACCCTTGTGGATACGGGAAGCTCCGTTAATATCATGTATATGGATACGTACAAGGCTCTTGGCTTGACAAGGGATGAATTATCACCCATCAAGACTCCACTGACCGAGTTCACTGGTGACTCTATTGAGCCGGAGGGGGTAATAACTCTCCCGGTCGAAATAGGGGATACTAAGGCCACCCGAAAGTTGGATATGGAATTCGTTGTGGTGGGGATAATCTCCAACACAAACATCATCCTGGGCAGACCCGGATTGGAAGATTTAGAGTGTGTCATTTCACCTCGTCACCTGTGCATAAAGTTCCCAACCCCCCACGGAGTTGGAATCGCCAGAGGATCTCAGAGAGTGTCCCGGGCGTGGTATTTGAAGGCAACCAAACAGCCTGTCAAGTATGATACCCAAGTGGGAGAGGTGACTGCACAGCTCCTGAGGGCTGAGGAAAGACGTCCCAGAGTAGAAGTTGCCGGCGACATTGAAGAAGTGGAACTGGAGCCTGGCACGCCGGGAAGGTTAGTAAGAATTGGCAAGGGCCTGGGGGCTGAGCTCAGATCACGAGTAATCTCGGTCCTTAGAAGGTTCAGGAAGGTCTTTGCATGGAGTCCAGCTGATATGCCAGAGCTGGATCATAGGATTGCAGTTCATCGCCTCAATGTCCTGCGAGATGCTAAACCGGTGAAGCAGAAGCGGAGGCATTTGTTGCAGGAAATGAGAGATTTCGTGAAGAAGGAGGTAGCAACCTTGCAGAGCATTGGTCACATCCGGGAGGTGCAATACCCGGATTGGTTGGCAAATGTAGTTCTGGCGCCTAAGCCTCCTTCGTGGAGAATGTGCGTCGACTACACAGATTTGAACAAGGCATGCCCCATGGATCCGTTTCCTCTCCCCAACATTGACCAGATGGTGGATGAGACTGCCGGATCAGAGTTAATGAGCTTCATGGACGCTTTCAGCGGCTACCATCAGATTCAGATGCACCCGGCTGATGCTGAAAAGACGAGTTTCATGACCCCGGAAGGGCTGTACTGCTACTTGGTGATGGCCTTTGGGTTGAGAAATTCTAGGGCGACATATACCCGGATGGTTTCTCAAGTGTTCAAGGCCGTCCTAGGGCGAACCATGGAAGCATATGTCGATGACATGATTGTCAAGTCCAAAGAGGCCCGAGACCATGTCCGGGACCTTGAAGAGGTCTTTGAAATCACGATGAAGGTAAATTTGAGATTGAACCCGAAGAAATGTACTTTTGCTGTTCAGGGTGGAAAATTCCTTGGGCACATGGTTAGCCAGAAAGGGATTGAGGCAAACCCGGAAAACGTTAGGGCCATCATGGAGATGGAACCCCCGAGGACAGCAAAGGAAGTTCAGCGGCTGACAGGAAGATTGGCGGCTTTGAATCGTTTCCTTTCAAAGCTGGCAGAGAAGGCGCACCCATCTTTACGGTAATCAAGAAGAGGGCGACCTTTGAATGGACGCAGGAATGTCAAAAAGCATTTGAAGAACTGAAGAGATATCTGGCAAGTCCGCCGGTTTTATCTAAGCCGGAACCTGGGGATATCCTGACTCTATACTTGGCAATTGTAGATTGCGCCATCAGTACTGTGATTGTAAGGGAAGAAAATGGAGCCCAACATCCGGTCTACTACGTCAGTAAGACCTTGAGAGATGCGGAGTTAAGGTATTCCCGTCCGGAGAAGGCCATGTTAGCAGTCTTCTGGACGGCGAAGAGATTAACTCCGTACTTTCAGGCTCACCGGATTGTTGTGCTCACTAATGAACCTTTGGCGTCACTTACCCGAAGTCCGGCGGCATCTGCCCGGATGACCAAGTGGGCAGTCTTCATCAGTCAGTATAATGTGGAGTTCAGGCCGCGTCCATCAATCAAGGGGCAGGCACTCGCCGACTTTCAGGTTGAGTGCACCGCCAGAGAAATGACAAGAGCCCAGGTTGGAGTCCGGGTGGAAGATGACTGGTGGGTAATGAGCATCGATGGATCTTCTGGGTCTCGATCTTGCGGAGCAGGTATCGTCTTGATCACTCCGGAAAATTTCCGGATATATTATGCTATCAGATTTCAGTTCCGCGTATCCAACAATGAAGCGGAATACGAGGATATTCGCTTCGATACGGTTCGTTTACAACCCTACTTTTTATGAGTTACTCTCAGATTATAAGTCAATTTATTTCATTCCCATTGATCTTATTTAAATAGCTGAACCCCATCCCCTAGAGTCTTTTCTGTACGACTTCGGATAATAGATTATTGTAATCTGGCAAATTGACTTATAATCTTTTTAAAAATTGGTATATAAACGAAAAGTACAAATTATATATTTCAGAGTTGATTCAAATGTTAAATTTAAAAAAAAATGTGACCAGAATATATTATTTTATCGATCAATTAACTAATAATGAAGAAACATAAAATGACAAAAGTAATCAAAAAGTTAAAATAATACAGTTATTTTTTGAGGGAGGGAGGATAATAGTTAAGGTGAAAGTATGTGGAGGAATCACGAGGGAACCATCTGGGAACAGTACAGTCTCTTTCTAATTGCAAATTGAAGTAGTGAGACAAAACCTAACAGCATACAACACCTGATGGATGGATGGCAGCCTGTGAAAACTCATACTCCGTAGCTTTTTCAATTAACCAAACAAACCTTCCTCCAATGCATCTCTTCTTCTATTCGTACTTAGTAGTGAGTGGTCCAACTTTATTTCCAAACAAAACATATATACATCAAAACTTTCACATTGGATATTTTTTTGATGGGGGAAATGGTTTTGGGTGGGTTTTTGTCTCCACCTTACACAAGATTGTGTTGTTTTGGACCATATAAGAAAAAAAGAATTCTTTTGTGGCATTTCTATCTTGGCCGTATTTTGAGCCTGTTCTTTAGGGCGGAAAAAAAGTTAGATCTTAGAAGAAATTAGAAAAAATGGAAAAAATGGGAAGAAACTGTAAGAAAATTGGAAAAAAACTAGAAGAAACTAGAAAAAACCAAAAGCAATTTCAAAAAAGTATTTAAATACATTTTACATATCATTCTTATTATAATTCTTATTGTTATTGCTGTTGTTATTAACATTACTACTACTGTTATTTTTACTATTATTATTATTATTATAACTATCATATATAATAGGTAAAAAAATTAATAAATTTCGACCATGTAATTAATGTATGTTTCATTTAATTAGAGACAGAGGGAGTAGTATAATTATTATTTTTTAATTTTAAATATTGATATTTTTCCCAACTCTATTTAGATTAATAAAATGTTTCTAATTTTTAGAACATTGTTTAGTGTAAAAGAAACTGATTGATCTAACTGGGACGCAGATGGGAAAATTGCCATTCACATACCTAGGCAACCCAATCACCACTGCCAGGTTGAAAGCCAGGGATTGTGAAATGCTGATCACCAAAATTACCAATAAAATTACTGCTTGGAGCTCCAGACACTTCTCTTACAGTGCTGTACTGATGGGAGTGATATCCTTCTGGTCCAGAATTTTTATTCTACCTCAACAAGTTATAAGGAGAGTCACTGCAATTTGCAGAAACTTCCTTTGGGGGAGTACACACGAATACAAAAAGATGCCACTGGTTAGATGGGAAGAAGTATGCCAAAAGAAGAAGCATGGAGGCCTAGGCATTAAAAATATATCAAACTGGAACAAAGCTACCATCATGAGACTGAACTGGGACATAGCTGAGAAAAAAGACGTATTATGGGTGAAGTGGATTCATAGCAGGTATATTAAGGGTGCTGATTTCTGGAGCTTTACTCCTAGATTAGATTCTTGTAATTATTGGAGGGTGATGATTCATATTAGAGGAAAGTTCAGAGACATGCCTCCTACCCAAAGATATAACAATAGAGAAGGGTATGATTGGCTGCAAGGAGAACGTGAACACCCAAAATGCATTGGCTTGGTTTGGAACAAGTTCTCCCCTCCCAAATTTTAACATATAATATGGCTACCGGATCGTGGCCACTACATAAGGGTAGAACTACTAATATGGCTACTAATGAGAGGAAGATAAGGGTAGAACTACTAATTTTAACATATAATATGGCTACTAATGAGAGGAAGATTACAAACTAGAGAAAGATTAAGAAGATTTATGACAATAAATACTAGATGTGTCCTATATGTGATTCTGAGGAGGAAACTGATAAACATTTATTTTGTGAATTTGGATTTGCGCAAGCAATGTACAAGGGCTGTTTCACTAGGTTCAACTTTCAAATTGAGCACCTGAACTTGGATGAACTGGAGGCAGGGATGCAGATGATAAAAGGAAAGAGAAGGGCAGTGTTCATGGCAATCTGGGCAGCTACAGCATATGGCATTTGGAGAGCAAGGAACAAGAAGATGAATCAAGGGGAGTTTGACTTGGATGTGGCCATTAAATATATATGCTCTTATATGAAAAGTTATCTTAGTTATAAGAAGGTTGTGTAGAATTTTGAGTTGAGATGTAGTCATCTGCAACTGACTTTGGTTGGAATAATAAAGTTGTGTTTTTGTGCAAAAAAAAAAAACACTAAAATGTAATCCCTCCGTCCCTAAATAGATTACAATTTTTTTCTCTCTCCTCTCGATAACTTTTGTTTGTTTACGCGATTTCATTAAGTATTTGATAAAATAAACTATTCTTGTCACCTCTTTTTTGTAGAACTTTTCACATAGTTTTTTAATATGTAATTTTTATATCTTCTTGATATACCAATTTGTAAATAAAATGATTTCAAAAAGTAAGAAATTTTACTCCGTAACCCGCAATTTGTAATCAAATTGGGAACGGAGGGAGTAATTCTCTAGACTTTGGATAACGCTACGTCGGGGCCGGATTGAATATGATAATTCTCTAGACCCTAGATCCGGTCGAATAATGTTAGTTGCAAAATTTAAGGCTTTCCGCTTGGAAGGTACCCCAATTTTGAGTATTGTAACAAAAAAGTATCTCATCTTTAAGTGGAGCATAACAAAAAGGTACCACAACTTTAAAAAATGTAACAAAGAAATTTCCCTTGCCGACATTTTGAGAATCTGGCCGCTGAGTGCACATGTGATGTTCCACTTAGTTTCTTAGTGTACATGTGTCATTCCATATGACTTCCAAATTAACTTTTAATTAACCCAATACTTGATTAAAGCTCTTTTATTTTGAGTTAGAACTTAAGAGTTGAATGTTGGAAGAAACTGAAAGTAATTGAAAAAAATTGAAAAGAGCTTGAATAATTAAAGTGCTAAAAAGTCACTCAATTAAATGATTACCAAAATAAATATGTAAGAAAAACCATAATTTTGAATAAAAAAAGAATTCATCATTCCCCGTGTTTGATGTGATATGTTATAAATTTGAATATATAATGTTATTATATGTTCATCATATATAAATATTTTTTTAAGACGTTAGAACAAACTGGAAAGAGTAAAAAAAGAATTAGAAGTTGGAAAAAGTTGGAAGTTTTTTTTTTTTCAATTCAAAAAAACAGAGCCTAACTTTGTACCTGACACATATAAACATAAATATTAAAAAACTTTTAAACTTTTATTTTATTTATATAATTTAAATTTTGTTCATCTAGTGAAAGTATATTTTACGAAGTATATTTTAATTTTATTTTAACCACATGCTTTCTATAAGATTTTTATTTTAGTTTTAGCATTTTGAAAAATTTATAATTTACAATATACTTGTATTTTTAAAATTACTAGCAATAACATTTTAATAATTATCTATAATGTAATTTCAAATATTTATTTGGAACTTTTAAAATTTTAAATTTTAAAAAAATACATATAATTACTAATATTATTAATACTCCTACGACTATCATTGTTATTATTATTATCAAGTATTATTGATATGTGTAATGAGTTTTTATAAGTCATCTAAATATTTTTTAAAAGATACATTCATGCAACATCGTGTTTATTTATTTATTTATTTAAATTCTAGCTCCAAATTCATGTAAGTATTTTTGTAATATTTAAATTACAAAAATAGAAAATTACTTAAAAACTAATTGCTAGTTTGGTTTAAAATAATTTGTAAATTAGAAAAATTTCAAAATACTAAAACTTAAACTATAGAATTTGAAACCGATCATCATAAAATATAAAAAATGATATTGCATAAATAAAATATAATTTTAAAAAAATTAAAACTTGACTTTATATGTGTCAAGTACAAAATTAACACGTATAGGATAAGTTACAATTTAATTAAAATTCATATGAAATGTCACATGTACACTAGGAAGTCCAATGAAAGGCCACATATGTACTCACCGGCTAAGTTCTCAAAATTTAGGCAAGGGATACCCCTTTGTTACATTTTTTTAAAGACTAGATATCTTTTTTATCTAGTTACAAAACTCAAAGACTAGATATCTTTTTAAAGTCTTTTTTTATACAAGTTGAAGATGTAATTCTTTTTTGTTACAAAATTCAAAGTTGGGATACCTCCCAAATAAAAAAGCCCAAGTTTTAGGGTGTGTATTCAATCAGGATTCTGATTGATTTAGATAGATTGTTTAAAGTCAACAGATTCTGCAATATCTATGAATTGTTTTAAGTCTATGCAGAGTTTGATAGATTTTAATGTATTTTATCAGCAGAATTTTATAAGATTCTGTTTGATTGTTTATAATCCACAGATTATTTATACATAAATATGAATTATTTTATAAATTTATACATTGTTGTAACATGAAGTATTGTAAATAGCTATTAAAAAGCTTTGTTTATGAAATCGATAAAAAATTAAAAATAATCTAATAAAATAAAAATAACTTATTTTTTAAAAAAATTATCATTGTCGTAATATATATATTAGAATAAAATAAGCAATAAATTTGTTTTTACATTTAAAATTAATATTATCTCTCCGCTATTCTTCTTGTATGTCAAAACTCATCAATAATAAAATTCTAAAGACAACTCAAGAGAAGACATTATTCAAAATTTTAAAAGATAACTGAAAAATAAAATTAGTTAACAACATAGTCTTCCATTTCAACTTCATTATCACCAAAACCTTCTTCATTCTCCTCATTAGCATCATTTTGTGGTCTATCGGCCCACATAGCTTTAGCAATGTCATGTCTCCAAGTGTTAGCTTCTGTTCATCTATTTCTTCCCTTCCTATCACTTCTTCTTTCATTTATCTATATGACCAAGCACATAACCATTTCTTTACACATATGCATACCAAAATAAAAGTTCTAAACTTACATATGCTCTTACTTTTAAAAGTTCTAAACTTACATATGCTCTTACATTTGCATATGCTCTTACTTTTAAAAGTTCTAAACTTACTGCCCTTGTTTGCAGAAAGTGCAGTGGGACTAAAAAAATGTTCTGCAAATATGTGTTCTATACATGCATACAAACAAATATGTATGGCCATACCCAAATCTGTCCCAATCGTAGGCCAAAATGCATAATATTACAGCATTATATTATGCCAAAATTGCAAAATAAACGGACTATATTTGCAGATATTGAAAAATTTGCAACATACGGACTATATTTGCAGAATATACGGACTATATTTGCAGATATTTGCTTAATGGGACAAAACGTACGAACTATGTTCTGCCAAAATTCAAGAACATACAGACTAAAAAACTGATAATCACTTCAATAGCATGACTTTGAGCAAGAACGATATAGAAAAACCTAGAAAAAAATTAATATGGAAAATCAATTTATCTTAGCCAAGTTTGAAGAATAGTGAATTAATTCTTCAAACTGGACAGATTTGTATGGCGGAGCTGCAAATTCAAAAACCCTAAGGAGATGAAAACGAGATTGAAAGAGACAAATAATGATTTTCATTACCTTGTTAAAATAACCTATCGCCGGCTGTAGAAATCGACGACCTCGGAATCGCTGACAGATCTGGAGTGCTGAACGAGGGAGCGCCCGATGGAATCACTTTATCCGATTTGCAGAAGAACCAGTGCCGACGGGGAAGGAGATCGAGAAGATGAGCTCAAAGAATAGAATAAGAAGATTTTTGAAGAAGGAGATCGGGAAGTTGCGGACAGACTCTTGACTCTTGAAAATACCTGGTGTTTTGGTTGGATTTGAAAACAAATTTTTTATTTATACTTCAAACCAAAAATCCATTAGAATCCATATTTTTTAACAATCCTTAAACATCTATCAACTTTTCAATATCATTAGATTTAGAAAGACTTTTTAAAATCTCAATTGAATATCTCCAAACTTTAATTGATTTTTTAAAATCCTAATTCAATACCCATTGACTATTAGTTTGTACTTTGTACCTTAATTATTATCTTTGTAGCTATTTTATAGTGTGTATTCTTTGGAATTGTACCTACACTAAAATCATCAATATAGTTATATAGAGCTCAAAACTGTCATGGATATTGTGGCTCTATGTTCTCAAAATGTGAAGTTGCTAAAATTTTGACACCACAAAGATCTTTTTTCAAAATCAAATTTTATGAACAATCATGATAGACTTATTAACCGTGCCTATTAACATTTCTGGTACATTAAAAAATGAATGAATGCAGACATCATTTGTCTCCGTTCATTCATTAAAAAAAATTAGTAGAAGACACACAAGTGTGAAGTCAATTTCACATAGCAAATTGTGGAGCCAAAGAGCTTTGCCGTGGCATGTGCTAGAACACAATGTTAGAACCAAGCTAGACAACGGTAAGCAGTGGTGGAGCGATCACCATCATGAATCCATCCCTCCCCTCCCCCGGTAAAGAAAACAGTGAGAGCGAGAGAAGGGGGTATCATTCTTGAGAAAACAAGCCATGATTAACCGTACCACACAAACTGGTCGACCCCTTAGCCCATTTGTACACTTCTGCATCATCAGACTGCACCTCATGATCTCTCACTGCTCTCTCCCATGCTCATTGGATTGGCTTTGGCTTCAATTTCCTCAATATTAGTCGGCATAGTTCAGCACGCGAACCCACCTAACCATTCTGCACTGTTGCTGCAAATGACTCCGCCGCCCCAGCCCTGTTTGCTATTATTTTTTGTGCTCCCATCGACATTCAAAGCAAGCTCATGGTCAATGGCTGGTTTCCACTTTAGTACCCGATCTCTAGCAGCCTGATCTGCCTTGCTTTTGGGCATGTTCTGAATATGGGAGCAATGGTCTCCTCGTTATCCCTATAGAAAGGGCAAGAGCTATCTCAAGTAAGGCCTCTTTTCCTTAGTTCAGCTTTTCCATTGCCTTTTCATGGCAAATAGTCCACAATATGATCTTCATCTCGCTTGGCACTTTAATCTTCGAAATCAAAGGCCACACTTCATTGTACATGTTGTTGGTAAATCCCCTAATTAGATTATAAGCCGACTCAATGGAAAACTTACTTATCGGGTCATGCTTCCAGTAGTATTCGTCCTAGATGTCTGTCTCTGACTGCATCACCGGTAGTTGCATCAAAGAAACAATGTTAGGTGGGAGGTTCGGGATTTTCTCCCATTGCCACCCACTGGAGCCATTCCAACTCTCAACAACAGTAATTCCTCCCCACGAATTTGAAGCTCCTTTCTTGCTCGCAAATATATTATGTAGTTTGTCATCACTATGTATCATAATAAATGACAAAGTTATCAGTCTTTAAAACATTGTAACAATTTAGTGACAACTGACATTGTACTTGGTTATCATGAAAATCATCTTATTTACAAAAATTCCTTTGTGACTAACGTAGTACTTGTAATAACAACACAAGTTATCATAAAAAATTAAACAGTGACACAATTTTACCATCACAGAAGTACTTTTGAAAATGAAAGTGAAATTGTCATTGAAATAGTTATGTGGTGACTGGTGACACTCGTGCAGGTTTGTCATAAAAGAAGCCATTAAAGAGCAATGATCAAGCTAAGATAATCCTTGAGTTTGTGAGTGAATATAGTTGATCCTCTTACTAATATTCATAGACTATATTTTTCTGGTAATATTTTAGTTATTTACCACTGTAGATAAGTAATAACTATGCTGAGTAAAACCCATCATATACTTTTATAAATCTATCAATCTAGTAACAACTCACATTGTTACCTTTGAACCTCTAGCAATTTATGTGCAATGGAAAAGTTACCAGTTTTCCCCTACAATGAACAAACCTCACTGATCAATCAGAAACTAGCATCCAATCTTGAATCATTTCTGTACCAAAAACCATTATCTGCTGAAAAAAAATTAAAGCACATGAAGTTTTACCCCTCAGATAATATTAACACTGTGTTTGGTTCAAGGAATTGAAAGGTAAAAGAAAATAAAATTTAAGGGAAAACAATTTTTCATGTTGGTTAGAGAGGAAAAGAAAGAAAAGTGGAAGGAAAAGAAAATGAGAAATTAAATTGTACTAAGAGGAGGGAAAACCTAATTCCTCCCACTTTGGTACTTTGGTGAGGAAAATAAGAGAAAATTGTTTTCTTTTCTTTTCCTTCCAAATGTCTTGAACCAAACATAGTGTAAATGTCTCCACAAGAGAAATGAATCATTGAGTGAAGCATAGGCTAGACACTGAAGTCCTTCTGGTTAGTCAAGGTTGCAATGGCCCAAATGATAAACAAACATAAAATAAAGCAAAACATTATAAGGTACATTGCATAGGACCAACAGAGTGTGAAACATAGAAAATAAAATTACTACATGAGGAAGAAAGTGAACTTCTCAAATGGATGAACATATAGAAAATAAACACCACTAAAAAAGTTCAGTCATATAAAAATACAGCATCAAGATAAAGGAGGCGTCAAGAATAGAAATCCATAGAAAGACCTTTAGTTGTCCAATTAGAAGGCTGGGCTCAGAGAGAAATCCATAATGGAAGCCAAAGCTAAAAGGAAAAAAAACACTGCATACTCATGAAGAATTTTAAGAAGAGAATGGGTTTAGGCTAAAGTCCAAATGAAATGCTTTGAAAAGCCAACAAGAACAACTCAATATAATCTCAAAATGTTGGATTTTGAAGGTCAAAATGGAAGAAGTCTTACCCTGCAAAAACAGTGAAGATGTCATTTTGATTACATGGCAAGGGCATGTGGGATGCTCCCCGGCATGCTAAATATAAATACTCATAGAATTAGGTTTTTTTTTCAAGGAGGGGAATCAAAATTGAAAGCAAAACAGTATACCTGGGCTATGAACGGTGAATTGGTGATTTGAAGACCAGCGGAGGTGGACAAGGAGAACATTGGGAGGTCAGAGTCGAGCGGGGGCGCCCCTGCGGTTTTCTCCTTCTGCTACCATTTTCATTCTCCATTGTTCCTATTCAACATTCTTCATCTTATCTTCTATCCAATGCCGACTTCTCCTATTCTTCCTTTTTTTTTGTTGGTTGAATTTCTAAAACAACATCCACTCAGATGATACTTGCTTCTGGAAGGGGGGAGTTCGGGGTGAGTACACAGTTAGAGATGGCTATCTAAAAGTCATGGGGGAAGCTTCGGCAGATCCATCCTTTTTTTGTTGGAGAAGACTTTGGAAAATTCATGTTGCACCAAAAGTCCGGGTTTGTCTTTGGCGAGCGATTCGTGGGATTCTCCCAACATCGTGCGCCCTTATTTCGAAAGGTTTGGAGTTGATCTCTCTTTGTCCAGTATGTGGTTTTACGGAGGAAACGATTGAACACATTTTTCTCTCTTGCCCCTTTGCTAATTCTGTTGGCAGCTTCTAGTGTTGGGGGGAATCGGTCGTCCGCCACTGGTTTTCCTCCGTGGTTCCAGCAGATTCTGGTTACAGCTTCCACAACGGATCTCCAGCGGATTGCTTGGGCGATATGGTGTTTGTGGAGGAATCAGAACGATGCCCTTTGGAATCATGATGTCGTTGTCCCCTTATCATTGAAGCATCAAATCATTCACCTGCAAAATACTTATGTCTCCAAGGACATGAGTTTTAATTCAATTCACGAGAGGTTAAAAATGGTGGAGGGGTCTTCTAACCTTTGAAGTGTTCAGTGGATGCTTCTCTCTTTCCTCGTTCGAAGCTTACGAGTTTTGGGCCTACTCTTTTCACACTCAATGGTTTTTTCAAGGCTCCAATTCATGGTGTTACACATAGTGATTTTGATTCCTTTATGGCTGAAGTTGTGCCTTGTAGGGAAGCCCTTTCTTGGCTTAAAAAACACGGGCATTGATGCGGTGGTGCTCACCTTAGATAATTTCAATTTGGTTCAAGTATTATAACAAAGGAATGCCTCTTCCTTTTTGTCCTACGTGGGCTCAATTTTGGACTCTTGTTTTACTCTCATTTCATCCTATAGGCATATCGAATTTCATTTTGTTCGTAGATATGAGAATATTTTGGCTCATGTGCTTGCTAGACAGGGTGAGATTTGTATTGATGTGAGGGAGTCTAACCCACCAGCTTTTTTGAATAATTAATGAATATTCTGTTGTTTCAAAAAAAGAAAAGTTTTAGGGGTGTGTTTAATCCAGATTTTTTAAAGGTTCTGATAGATTATTTTGAATTCTTGGATTCTGTCAATGGATTATTTTAAGGGAGGTGTATTTAATTAGGATTGTAATGATTTTTTTTTGGAATTTTAAAAGTCTGCAAGTTTTCAATTCAAATTTTAAAAAATTATTTAAAATTTAAATGTATTCGATTCAGATTTTAAAAAATCTTTCTAAATCTAATGGTATTAAAAATTTGATAAATTGTCCTAGATTCTTACTCCCTCCGTGCTTGAGTGTTTGTCAAATTTTGAATTTTTTCAGTCAAAATTGGTAAATTTTGATCTCAAATTAAATAAAAATGATATTAGATATTGATTCAAGAATAATTTTATTATATTTATTACTCCGTATATCAAATATTTTCAACATATTATTTTATCTAATTCATATACAATATATATTTTATTTAATAATAGGTCAAAGGTTGAAAACAGTTGACCGAAAAAAATCAAAATTGGACAAATAGTCAGAGACGGAGGTAGTATAAAACATGGATTTTGATAGATTGTTAGCAAAAAGTATAAATAAAAATCATCTTAGAAATCTACTTAAAAGCTATAGATTTTACGAATCTTCTCATCTTTAGCTCGCGGTTCTTCATCTTCTCAGATGTTAGTTCTTCATTTCTCCGATCGGTTCTGCTCTTCACTCCTTGTCTTTTCCGATCCATTCACTCCGTCATTCCTGCGTCCCATATCTTTCTTCAATTGTGCAAAACAAAGAAAACCTCAAATTTTTTCAATCTATTTTATTTAAATATTGGTATAAAAAATAAAAATAAAATTTACATATTTAAAAACTACATCAAAGATTGAACAATACAAGTAGCGAGAAGATTGTTTTATTTTATTATATAGTCCATAAAAAACACAAATAAATAAAATTCTCGTAAAATTAGAATAGTGCACTGGCAGCTCTGCGAAAAAAATGATACGGAGTATTGAAGAGAGGGAGCATATGTTGGTTGTGTGACAAATTTAATTATCTATACTTGTGTGTGTGTAGAACACTAGAATGGGATCGGAATTGATGTACACCAAACAAGACTTTGGTAATGGCTTATTTTGGATGTAGAGACAACTCATGGCCACCATATATTTGTGAGTATTTCGGGAAATAATAAAAAATTACTACCTGTCACTCAAACCAAACTGTTAATCCACAGTTCACTTCCCCAACATGTGCATATCTGAAATCTTTACAGTCTTTGCAAAATAAATATATGAACCGCAAATACATGGCGCATACAAAGCTTCATTCATTCCGTGCACCCTAGTGCATTTTCTTTACTCAATTTTAATTTGTGAAATTTGCACTGAATAGGACTAAAACATAAGTCATTTTCCAATGTAAGATTTAAACTTTTTTATTCCCTAAATACTTAAATAGGACTTAATAATGTCTTATAAGAAGAATAATGTCCAAGTGATACTGGACATTTAGTTGAATAATGACTAATAGATAATGATCAATGGTCCTACATTGGGAAATAAAAACATATGATCTTATTATGTTTTAGTCCTATTTAAGTAAATTACCCATTTAATTTAACCAAGGGCGGAATATATAATTAGTGTAGGACACCTACCTTGTTTTTTTTGAATGAAACAATGTAGAGCGTTAGTGTGCACCGGTGTCGATCACCCGTGCTAGACTGCTAGCTAGTGTATCATCAGTGTCCTAAATAAGTAGTGTCAATCAGTGTCGTCGTCATACAGGGTCATTGGAACCGGACTCTAGTCATAGGGGTGTTCATCGGATCAAGTCCGGACCAGACCGTCTCGATCGGAATGGACCGGGACGCGACCAAGGGGGGTCACCTCCGAGATCTCGTCTTCCTGGACGATTATGGCCTCAGGATCAAACGCCGGCCCAAGGTAGACACTCCACTTCCCCACGCAAAAGGGAGCGCGGGTGGAAGTGTCTCTGGCTCGGAGTGAGGCTTCCCATCTGGCCAGGTCATCGGAGGGGCCAGGTTTGACCTGGATTTTGAGCCTTTCCCCCGAGCCATAATTTCAAGAAAAGGGGAACTCGCCGGGAGGAAAGGTAATCGAGACATATTTTTCTTTCCACTCCTTGTTTGAAGGGGGGAGACCGGAAAGGAAACCTTGCCTGACGGGAGGACACTATGACGAATCCAAGGGTTTCTTTAGATTCGGGCTGGAGGTCAAACATGTGATTGAAACGACGGAGGGAAAGAGGGATGCGAAGGAAACGACAGACATTAATAAAACTACTCAGAATACGATGGCCGTTGGGGGCCAACTGACCGTCCATAATGTTGTACGACTCGAGGAAATATATATACTTTGAAGGGATGGAGGGAGAATTCACCTAGGTCCTTGATGGAATGGTGATACGGATAGTAGATTAGTTATATTATTTATTAATTAGTAGTCATTTAATATTCAATAGTTAATCATGTTTAGGATTTTAGTATGGGCCCGAGCCCATTAGGTTAACTAGGGTTTTCATATCTCTATATATTGTACTCCCATCTCATTATTAATCAAGCAATAAAGAATAATCAAATCCCAATCCCTTTTCCTATTCTCCTGGAGCTCGGAAACGCTCAAAGTTTTCCATCTTCCTCTACCTCATCTTCTTGGAGTTTGAAGAACGCTCGAAGTTCTTCCCTATCCGATACGTTATTCGTATCAATTGGTGCTTTCATTGAGAGAAATTTCCAAAAAAAAAACAAAAAAAAACGAAAAAAAAAACAAAAAAAAAACGCAGATCTGCAACATCTGCCCCTAGAGTTAATCACAATCACCGGCAGATTCCGCCGCTCACATATTCTAGCAGTCGCCTTTGCCCTTGCGGGATTCTTGTGCCGCTGCAATCCCCAGTTCACTGCCACAACTGCAGAACCCAATTGCTACGAAGTTGTTTGGGGGCCGATCAGTCTTCTTAGCCGCAAGCGTGTTATTTGGAGTACAAGGTGTAAGGATTCAAGGGCCTGTTGACGGAAAAAAAAAAACCCGCCCGTCGATCGCTGCACATTCCGGCTGTCCTGATGCTAAAAAGAAATCAATTGCCGGCTGATCCAGGAGTCAAGAAGCTCAATTTGCTTGTCGCTGCCCAAAATTTTGTGGAGTAAGACCAAATTTGTTGCTGCCTTAATCATAGTAAGATCATTTTTTTTTCTTGCTACAAAATTGTTTTCGGCTTTTGCAAGTCCAAGGAAAAAAAAAGATGTCCATCATGCAGCATGATTTTTCGTCAAGAGTGGAGGCTCGATTCCTACGGTTAGAGGCTTTGATTATATGTACGGGTGCATTGGACAAACTCATTGATTTATTGGAAAAAGTTCTTTATGGAGAAATTGAGCATGATGAAGGAGTGTGTATGGTTTTTGATCATGTGTATGAGATCAGTATGAAGCTCAGGTCGATCCATAATTTTAAAGGGCAAATTGATTATGATGCGCTCGACATCGAAATTTTTTGTTCGGTACAGGATTTAGTTCGTGATCCCCCAATTTTTCCGAGTTTGATTCCGTTGGAGTTACAAATTTTCAAAACAAACATGATGAAGGTCTTCCAGAACCTCACTAGTGCGCCACTCTCTCCACCAAATTTAGCTCTTGTGGTCACTGTACAAAACACTAAGTCTCATGAAAAAGAATTAAAGGATGATTCAAGCGCTGAATCACATGTTGGGGATGCTATGGACAGTAGGCCTAAACTCATGAATGAAGATGACGAGAGGTCCAACGCCATTGAAATTAATGAAGGTGATATTTCAAAAGATATTGTTAATGTGGACACCGATCTGGTCAATGCCTCAACTAATGTAGTCGTTGCAGAGCTTGCCCTTCTAGAAGGTGCCAACAAGGTGGCAAATGCAGATAATAAGCAGGCAGACAACCCCTTTTCATTTGACACCATTAAGTTGTTTGACAATGTTGATGCGGTCAAGTCAAAACACCAAGTTTCACTGAGAACCTACACTGGGTATTGGCTCTATCTCACATGTCCATCGGTTTGCTCTAAGATCCAAGATGATTGAAGATTCAAAGAGTGGACTACTCCTTTGGTTCAACACTCTTTCTCCGGTCTTAAAACACGAGTGGGAGCCTCCACCTTGAGGACAAGGTGGAATTTTAAGGGGGTGGGAATGATACGGATAGTAGATTAGTTATATTATTTATTAATTAGTAGTCATTTAATATTCAATAGTTAATCGTGTTTAGGATTTTAGTATGGGCCCGAGCCCATTAGGTTAACTAGGGTTTTCATATCTCTATATATTGTACTCCCATCTCATTATTAATCAAGCAATAAAGAATAATCAAATCCCAATCCCTTTTCCTATTCTCCTGGAGCTCGGAAACGCTCGAAGTTTTCCATCTTCCTCTACCTCATCTTCTTAGAGCTTGAAGAACGCTCGAAGTTCTTCCCTATCCGATACGTTATTCGTATCAAATGGTAATGGACCCCAAGGGTTGAACCGGAGTGCAAAGAAATGATATTTTTCCAGGTGGCCTTATAAGATAATTTGTAAGGAGGTTACGGAGCTCATGGACATGGGTTTTTTTTTGCATAGAGGAGGGGAACTCTTGAAGCATCCGGTCATCCAGCCAGACGTAGCCCTCCTCACGGGTCTGGGCTACGGTGACCTTCTGGATCACAGAAGAAGAAGGGGGCGGAAGTGGCAGCATCTACCAGCTTCACTTGTTTAGGAGAAGCTGGGCGCTCGCTTGACTCAGAACGGGAAGATGAAGACTGGGAACCAGAGGCATGGGACCGGGTGCCAAAACCGTAAGAATGAACAGAAGCGTTCTGGCTATCCTCGTTCTCAGACATGGTGGAAGCTAAGGGCAAAAAAAGGAAAAAGGACTTACTTGGGACTCGGAGGACTGGTAAAAGCTTGTTCGACCGGGCAGTTTTTTAAGAAATGAAATGCAAGTGATAAATACGGGGGGGGGGGGGGACCTCGGTTTATAAAGGCAACATGCTGCCCCGGAGGACCACTAGAAAAATGACACCTGGCAGACATTATAATTAGCAATGATGGTTTCTGGGGAAGAGGAAACGACACGACAACTAGGCGACGGCGTACTAGATTTCTGTAAAGTCATTCCCGCCTACCATTCTCAGGAAATTCAAAAATTCAAAAGTATTCAACCATTTTATTCCCGCCCTTGATGGTACCCACAAAGCCGAGAATCAGAGGACTCCTTAATGGGTATAACCCACTGGTACCACTCGGCAAGTTTGTAGGTGCCTGGGAGGTACCAAGGTTTGATCGAGCTTGACCTCATCCTCCCCGGTAACCTGACCGGGTGGATGTCGGGGGGTTAGACCGGTAAGATTTTGACTTGATCCGCAGGAAGGCTTGAAGACGACTGGGTATTGGCGTTGACCGGGCATTGGTCCACTTGGGTCTGACAAGTCCAAGTGGCTGATTTGATGTGATGAACAATAGTCGAAAACAGTGTATCTCCTATTACTATAAATAGTAACAAAAGCCTCATAAGGAAGGCAAGCAATAAATAATCTACACGGCTCCTACTTTGTAATCGGTCCTCATATTATAAATAACAAACCGGGTTACAGGTGTTTCCACCTACAACCCTTCCGCTTTCCTTGACTTAATATTACGTACGTAGGTTTTACACCATCAGTCCGTCTAACCAACATCAGAATACATCACTAGACATAAAATTAATTTCAAATTATACTTTTAGCTTTTAAATTAATACTAACAGGGGAGAATGTAAAAAAGGACTATTTGTGAAATGTACTCATAAAAAGGATCATGGAGGTAATATTTGATAATAGAGGACTAAATACGGAAAAAAACTTCTGTTATAAAAGACCAAATACCAATTTTACTCTAAATTAAAACTTGAAAATACATCTCTGTAAAAAGTTAAAATTAGACAAAAATTGATGAGGGAGATAGTCATGACTAATGAGAGGAGGGTTGAAGTTAACCTAATTGGTTGGATGGGTTTGGAAAAACAAGCACTGCACCCAACCCACACCCATTATTACTGTGTTTGGGAATTGTTGTAACAAAGTAAGCCAAAGGCTGCAAGAGAATCTGAGCCCTAAACATGGCAACACATATGAACTCTCTCTTCATATCTCTCTCACTCTCTCACTTTACCTCTCTCTCTCTCATATCATTACCCCTCTTTATTTATCTCTCTCTAAAGAAAAGAAAAGAAAAGAAATGATGATGAAATGGATCATCATAATATGTGCATTTGCATGCATATATGTAATTAAGATGTGAAAGAATCTCAGAGAATCATATCTGAACTTACAATATTCTCCCTCCACCATTAATTACCTCTCCTCCTCCTCTTCTTTATTTTCCCCCCTTTTGTTTTCTTGGTATATATAAATACATGGAGTTGTTCAGCCCAAAGATAACAATTACTGCAAAATTAATGCTTCTTCTCCTTTTTCTTCTCCTCTCTCTCTCAACCATCATCAATCAACCTCCTCTTGCTTTGGGTAAATATATACATTAAAACCAATTCTTTACTAATTATTTACTCTGCTGTAAATTAGTAAATTAACCTGATGACCAGGTCGGTTAACTTCTTTTTCTTTTTTTTTACCTCTCTTGTTTGACTTCTCCACAGATGAACTCGGAACGCCATTGGGTGCGGCGGTGGAGGTGGGTTCTTATTTCCAGGTCAGTCTATATGAATCCTAATTTTCATGTTTTTTTGCACGGATTTTTTTCAAGTCAGATTTTCATTTCCCATACTGCATATAAATTATTGAGAAATTTTGCAAAATTAAAGGGTGCAAATAGTGTGTACGTAGAGGGGAACGTGGTCCGTGACGGCCAGATATATTTTATTCATCGACTTGTATCGTATCGTTAGTATTCAAAATGGTTTGGTACGGTTTGATTTTACGACTAAAATCGTCATGTAATATCTTGTTTCAAAATGTGATATGATGCTACCTGTCTTAATGGTTATAATTTTATTTTTACATTATTTATTTCTAATTTTTGGGAAAAACATATAATTAAAATTTTATTTTCAATAAAAAACAAATAATAACAAATAAAATTTTATAATTAATTCATTAATTTCATACGGAATATTTTGGTAGTAATAGTTCACATCTCGGTTCTGAAAACTAGGCGGTTTACTGTATTTAATTTGGTTGGCGATATAATTTATTAAAATCATTTGAAAACTAATATTTCGATTCGATATCATGTCGGTCCAGTTTCAAACAATGTCACTATATATATTGTTGCTCTGTTTTCGCCAATGTTATTGTTTATTATAAAATTATACTAATTGTGTGTGAGAATTAAAATTTATCGAGCAACAGTATCTACGCAAAAAATACTTTCTCCATACCAAAATGGACTATGAAAGACACTTTTTTTCTTCCGAACTAATTTCAAAAAGCTTAAAATTTAATTTAACACATTATTAATGTTATACTTTTCCAACAACTTTTTAAAGTCAAAATATCATTATTATATTAAAAATGATTTCTATAATTTTATTTTCTTCGTACTACGGCTACACGATTTGAGTAGCTAAAAGTCGAAGGCAACAGCAGCATCTGAGCAGCAATGGTCCCATGCAAAAACAAGGTCTACAGGGCGCACGTTAGCCTCTGTTCTCATGTTTTTAAAACTGACAGTGAGACTTTTACGCGCTATATATGAACCCTTTTTTAATTACCCTTTACTCTTCTTTTTTTCCTCATAAAAGTTTTCTTTATTGTATCTTTTCAATTGAGTTGACTTTCCAATTTTGCTCTTGATAAGATGGATAAATTAATGAAAAAATATGATGTGATAGATAAGGTAAAAAAAGAGTAAAAGTGAGTTTTTAATAGAAGATAGAAGTATTTTAGGGGAAAACAAAAAATGTAAGGGAAGTATTTTAAAAAACGGATGAAGTATAACTAAAGGTTTTACGAGATGAAGCTCTATATTTTTTGAAATTATTTATTTTAATACGCAATACAATAGAAAATTTGAAAGAAATAATGAAAACATATAAATAAATAAAATTTATGGAAAAGTCAAAATAATAATACTCCCTAATGACTTTAGTTATGAGACTGATGGAGCTAGTAACCCGACGGCAAGATTAAAAATTTAAAATGACGCTCCTAGACTTTGTGGTGTCTTTTCATGACACTGACTAAATTTGAAGCACAGAGATCGTTTCGTACTATCTTGAATTGATTTTTACAATAAGGATTAAGCTATTTGTACCCCACTTTGTACCCCGCAGCTTTGCACCAACACAAAGTGTTGGTGTAAAACTAATTTTTGTTAATGCACCAATACTTTGTGCCCGTGTAAATTTTTGTTAACGCACCAACACTTTTGTCGGTGTAAACCATCAAAATGTTTGTGTATAACTGCGGTGTACAAATGGGGTATAATTTGTGGTGTAAGTGTAGCATGACCCTTACCATAACCCTCCTAAACGCTCCGTAAATCTCTAATTTCAGCACGACTCAAGATTCATTACCTCCAATTACACTCTGGAATTTAATTGATTTTGAGGAAATTTTTTTTAGTTCAAAGTCAACTAAATTTGTAGAGTATAATCGAAGATGTCGTGGATGGGCTCTGGTAGGACCGGGCTAGGGGCATATGAATAATTCTAAGATAGTTTTATAATCAAAGTTTTTAAATCTTTCTAAAAATAGGATGGGGTTCCCATTGGAACCCAATGTCATGGGATGATCTGGGAGTGCTCTGGTGCCCTGTTCATAAAATTGACGGTTCCTACTCCCCTAACCCTCGATAAACCCCCCCACCCCGTCCCGATCCGAACACACCCCCTACCTCTGTCAATTTCACCCCACAAGTTGATTTTGACTTTGGAATCAAATTTTGACTCCAAAGTCAAAATCAACTTGTGGGGTGCAATTGACGGGGGTAGGGGGTGTGTTCTGGTTGGGACGGGGTGGGGGGGTTTACCGGGGGGTTATGAAGGGTAGAACTGTTAATTTTGCAGACGGAGCACCGAAGCACTCCCGAGTCATCCCAGTCATGGGAACCTTGGTGTTCAAATAAATGTCTACAAGCATTTGACATTATTCCTCATTTCGTCCCACTAAAAAATACTCCCTAAAAAAAATTTAAGTCGTACGTCCTACATTGGTAAATGACTTATATTTTAGTCTTACTTTATACGGAGTACAAATTTTTCAATATTCTAATCACTCACTTGTTTTTACTCCTCATCACTGTTCTTAATAACCACTATGAATAAAATCAAAGTGGTAAATATTTTTTTCGGAATATAGAGACATTAGATTTATTAAACGTCGTCTAATTAGATAAATTAGAAAATAGAAATGAAGGGAGTACTAATCATTTAATCTTGTTGGTGCGTCTTCTTCATATAACCCTTCCATGTGTGTGTTCACTTTCGATAGGGCTCAACCAAAATTGTGGTTGAGATTTTATTTTTCAATCAAAAAAAGATTAAATTTATTAATTGGTCCTCAATAATAAGCGCATTTCACAATTTAGTCTACTCTGTAAAATATGTTTTTCTTTAGGAAAATGCTAGAGGTATACAAAGGTGTACCCCATTTATCCCCCACCCCCTCCATTACCCCTTAAATAGGCAAGAAATTTAAAAAAAATTAAGTAAATAAAAATAAAAAATAAATGAGTGGTTATGGAGGGGGTGGTGTACAAATGGGGTACACCAAACACCTTTTGGTGTACCCCTAGCATCCTCTAAATATGAATTAAAGTAGTCCTATGTTCCTCATTAAATGAGTATAATTGTCATTTTCTATCTTCTACATCGTTTTCGATTGTAGCTAACGTTTTAGATAAAATTTTAATGATGCAGATTAATTTTGAACACGCTAACACTAAAATATGTCGTCAGATAACCTTTTTAAAACGCTAACGCTAATCTCTAACACCGATGCCAAACGGAGCCTAAGTATACATGTACCATCACTACCTACATAATCTCTAACTCTTTTCGGTTTCTTTCAATAACGACTTTAAAAATTAAGTAGTTATATAGGATTAATATAAAATAGCATTATATATCTAAATTTATATATATCACCACAAATATGGACAATGATGAATTTTTTATTATCTAAAATTAGAGTTTTCTTATATATTTATTTAGATGATCATTTGATTGAATGACTTTTTAACACGTAACCAACTCTTTCCATTTTTTCTAACTTTTTCTAATTTCTTTTAATTTTTTCCAATTCCTTACCACATTTAATTCTGAAATTGCAACCCAAAAGAACAAAGTTTTAATAGTAGATTGACATCCATTTAGAGAATTGATTGCAACAAAGTTTTAATTTTTTTCCAATTTCTTAACACCTAATTCTTACATGATCAAAGAGAAGTCTATATTCTTCATTACTCTTTAACCAGAACTAAATTAGAAAAAAATCCTTATTACCCATGAACAGTTTTTTACTTTTCTAGAATCAAAGTGTGTGGTTGAGACACACCCAATTAAGAATAACTAAATACTCCCTCCGTCCCTGAGTGTTTGTCCACTTTCATTTTTGCACACCATCCAATGCACTTCTTTAATCCATTTTATCTTGTAATTTGTATATTAAAAAATTATAAAAATTATATATTAATAATCTATATGTTAAGACGAATCAAACAAGATCACACATGACTATTTTTAGACTTACACATTGAGAGAATTTGATGAGTCAAAGTGCTTAGATGAACAGTTCCAAAAGTCAAAAGTGGACAAACACTCAGGGACGGACCAAGTAATTAATGTATTCCTTCAAAGAATGAAATCTTGATTTTGACTTTTGAGACACTTGATATTATTTGAATGAGGATTATTACACGTAGTGACTCAAAGTCATGAAGGATTTTGATTTGGTGATTTAGAGTTATAGGCCATGTTTGGTAAATGGCGGTTCACCTAGCATTTGGCATTTTTGACCATAAACAGCGAATTGGATTAGTCAAATCGCTAAACTATTTGTTTGGATAATGGCTTTTGGAATTGGCATTTAGAACCGAACCGCCAAAAATTGAAATGCTAACCCTAGCAACATTTCACTTAGCAGTTCACCCCCTTTTCTGTTTCTTACCCTTTTCTCGGTGTTGCGTCTCTTTGCGATCCTCACGGCACCGGAATTGGTGTAGAGTATTTTTATATATTTATGATATCATATTTAAAAAATTATAAAATAAAATATATCATGCGTGGTTGTTATTTGTAGAATGATAAATGAGAAAAATACAAAAAAAATCTACTTATAAAATATAAATGTAGATTCTCATTTCTTAAATTAAAAAAAACGAAGTAGCCTTTTTTGTCCAAAAAAAATACATGATATCATATTTAAAAAAATTAAAATTTGTGTAGAGTATATTAAAAATATATGATATCATATTTAAAATTGGTGTAGAGTATTTTTATACATTTATGATATCATATTTAAAAAAATTATAAAATAAAATATATCATGCATAGTTGTTATTTGTAGAATGATAAATGAGAAAAATACAAAAAAACTACTTATAAAATATAAATGTAAATTCTCATTTATTAAATTAAAAAAAATGAAGTAGCCTTTTTTTGTCCAACAAAAAAGAATATATGATATCATATTTAAAAAATTAAAATTGGTGTAGAGTATATTAAAAATATATGATATCATATTTAAAAAATTATAAAATAAAATATATCATGCATGGTTGTTATTTGTAGAATGATAAATGAGAAAAATACAAAAAATCTACTAATAAAATATAACTTTAAATTCTCATTTTTTAAATTAAAAAAAACGAAGTAGCCTTTTTTGTCCAACAAAAAAAATATATGTAAAGAATTTTCTTGTATAATGTGTATTTTATCAAATTAAAAAAATTTAAAATCATACACAAATTAACATAAATGGAGGGATGTCCTTATATGTAATTTTACTCACAAACAGCTAACTATAAACAGCTAAAGTTGCCAAACATCTAATTTTAAACAGCTAACAAAAACAGCTGGTCAAAACAGCTAACTTAATCAGTCATCCAAACCAGCCAACACAAACAGCCAACTGCCAACTGCATGTTCCAAACAAGGCCATAGCCTCTCTCCTCTAGGGATATGAAAAATTTGTTTGGATGATGTGATTTTTTAATTCTCTTTTTCAAAAAACTTTTTGCAAAAATCATAGAATTGTGACTTGAAATTGGCCCCAAACAGAGAATTATTATTAATCCAACATTGCTTTAATTACAAAAGTTGTACGAGTAATTAATAACCTTATGGACCATGCTACAGCCCTCACCCCTGCCCCACGCATGATAATACAGAAGATCTTATACTTACACAGACGATAACAATACTGATGATTATCGCCTGTGCAGGTATAAAATCGTCTGGATTGTCGTGCGTGAAAGCGGGAGTGGTAGGCTTTTAGCATTCTCTTAACCTTATATTAAAATAATTTATAAATTTATATTGTAACTGCGCTGAGAGGCAACTATGCTAAATATATGACTTTGCAAATATTGGATTCAGACTTTACTCTTTGTCACCAATTTATGATCAAAATATAATTTACCTCCTTTTAAATGTCGTCTGATCAGGTCTGAGGGGCCCGGTAATAGAGCTCATCTTTTTTCATTAAAGAGTTTAAATTAGTTACATTTTATTTCTCATTTTTCTCATACTCATAAAACATTCTCTAAGCAAGAGACAGAATGTATTGGATTCCCTGCTATATACCAATATGGAGTGCCATCAATTCTCTATGCTAACAAAAACAAATGTCTGATGCCATCTATGTGGTCTCTCACACATGACTTGATTGATCCAACTCTTATTTGTTTTTTCTTTTCCACAAATTAAAGACAAAAAATTTACTTAAAAGTACTAAAACATAAAAACTTTCTCTAAATAGCATCGTTTTTTCCCTAATGTAGTACTTTTAGTCATTATCCATTAGTCATTATTCAAGTAAATGTTCGTCATCACTGGTCTTTATGGACAATAGCAAATGCTATTTAGAGAATAAAACAGTTTAAGTACTATTTAGGAAAATGATTAAGTTTTAGTGTTATTTAGTACAAATATTCATTAAAGATTCTAACAATGTATCTGCAGCAGAAGAAAACGGTGAAGGGAAGGGACAGGACGCCGCCAGCAACCGCCACCGGTGGTGGCGGTTCGAGGAGGCTGTTGAGCGGGCCGGGTTCATTTCCGCCACGATGTACCTCGAAATGCGGGAGATGCGTGCCGTGCAAGCCGGTGCACGTGCCCGTGCCGCCCGGAACGCCGGTCACGGCGGAGTACTACCCCGAAGCTTGGAGGTGCAAATGTGGGAACAAGTATTACATGCCCTAGTTAGTTAATTGCTCCATGGCCATCTATCCCTTTAAACATATTTTTGAAAAAAAACTATAATATATAGGTGCTGGGTATGTGATCCATAATTAAGATTAAACTCTATTTAGCGTACAGTACAAATGCCAATTAAGAATAATACATACCTCACATATAATCATATCATATCATATATATAGTATACTCTTGGGTAATTAATTTACCAAAAAGTTTTTTTTTGTAAATATATTTACTGAGTTACGTTTGATGTTCTGTTTCATCACATACTCATCCGTGTACAATTTAACATTTTTTGCTACTCTCGGTTCTATAACTTTCTGCGTATAGATGTTAATTGGTTGTATTGAAAAAAGGGATATGATTCTTTCTTCGTCCCAATTTCAATGTCAAAATTAAAATTTTAGGTTAACTTTGAATACAATTGAATATAGCTTTACATAAATAAAAGTTACTCCCTTCGACCCAAAAAGAATGTCACAATTACTATTTTGATTTGTCGATAACTTTTGTTTGTTTACTCATTTTGGTTGAACATTTGATAAAATAAAATATTCTTGTCACATCTTATTTTGGAGAAGTATTGATGTACTTTTGAACGGTGTAAATTTTTACTTTTAATTTCTCTACAAATTTGTAAATAAAATGATTTTTAAAAGCGATGATATTTTGCACGTTACTTGAAATGTGCAATATATAACGTTAACGTACAACCAGTTATACGGTGTTTCCCGTACATCGATGACGAGTGATCATTTACGAGTAACTGAGTACTTATTTTCGAGCAATGAATACTCATTCTCGAGCGAGTGAATACTCATTTCTCTAAAATTCCGTTATGCTCGAAAATGAACATTCTGTTACTCAAAAATGAGCATTCATGCGGATATGCGGATGTACGGGAAATACCTTACATCCGGATATATGGTATACGTACTCTTCGAAAGGTTGTAAACAATTTGAAACAGAGGGAGTATAAAAATGTAATATATCAAAACTACGACTTAGCACAAATTTAACTTTAGTAAATTGGCATCATAATTAAATATATTTTTATCATAATTTATGTTACATCAAAGATCGATTGCCTAAAAATCAACTAAGACTGATAAACTGGGGCAAAGAAGTATAAACTCCTCAATATAAAAAAATTCCTTAAATGAAAGAAGAATAATTTTAGGAAAATAACTCAAATACTTTTTCGTCCATAAAAGATTGACACAGATTAATTTTGTTGGTCAAATTATATATAGTACTCTTTGACTACGACTTAAATATAGTTTTAAATAATTAAACATTATAAAAATTTGATATTTTAAAACTATATTTTAAAATAAATTAAATCAAATTTTACTTAATTGACATTATAACTAAATATATATTTTTTTACAATTTATTGTCAAGATTGTCACAGTTTGACTAAAGAAATCAAACTGTGGCAATCCTTTACAATGTGAGAGTATAAGACACAAGAATTTCCGGAATTTTCCATTGGGTAAAGTGATTTTAAAGGATGAATCGTACTTATGTTACTAAAGGCTTTGTTTGAAAATACGAAATAACATTTTTTTAAATTAATGTTGGATTTTAGATAAATGTTATTGGAGTAAATTAATTTTAAAAAATTCTTACACTAAATGCTATCGTTAAATAATTGTTTCAGACTACTAAACAATAGGATTTTGCACGGAAAGTCGGCATGAAGGGCATCATGCCAAGAGGGTTCAATAAGTTGTCTAAGGCTCTGTTTCGTACGCCTGATTTGATTGAATCTGATCTGAATTTTTGAAATTCTGATCTGATCTGATTGGATCTAATCTAATTACGTCTGATCTGATCTGATTGGGCCTAATCTGATTAGATCTGATCTAATTGGATCTGATTCGACCTGATCTGAATCTGATTGAATCTGAACTCATCTGATTGGATCTGATCTGATCTGATTGGATCTGGTTTTATCTATTAAATATAGTGTAAATGAATTTAAATTTGATTTAAGTTAAACTTAAAATTATTAAAAAATTTAATAGATTTAAAGTATTACAATTCATATATACTTAAAAAAAGTAAAATAAGAAAATCAGCAAACCATTGATATATTTAAACTTTTTTTGAAATATTAAACATCTTTTCAATATCACTACTCTTTTAATTTTTGTGAAAACTAAATAATAGGAATTAAAATAACCAAATATTAGGAAATATGGATGCGATTCTACAAAAATATCACATTCTACATGCATATTACATAATAATATATTTCGTGTTACAAATTAAATATCATATAAAATCTTAAACACTAATATTCCTTTCACCTCTTCAATTTTGTCATAAACTCACCCTTCTATATATTATATCATGTTAAAGTTTAAAATAGGTCTTTTTAGGTATAAAATAATTATGATTTTGAAAACTATTTTTTGTACAATTATTTAATAAACAAGTAATTCAAAACAACTATTTTTAATTATGAAAAATATAAATTTTTAAGCTTTAACATTTCTTCCATGCATCATTCCTACAAGCTAATTAAGCAATTACTAAAAATAAAATTTTGTAGTTGAAATATCATAATAATAATTATAATAATAATTATAATTATAATAATATAACAATAATAATATTATATTAAATTATAACATTAATTAAGATTTAGGTGTGTGTAGCTTCAAATAAATTAATGGGATTTAATCAAATAATAGTAATTATTATTTAATCCTTGAAAAATATAAATATTGTTTTTTATATTTTTTCTGATTTGATATTATTGGATTTGATCTGGTCTGATCTGATTGGATTTAGTTTGATCTGATTGGATCTAATTTGACCCGATTGGATCTGGTCTGATCAGATTAGATCTGATCTGATTGTATCTGATCTGATTGGATCTGATCTAATCTGATTGGATTTGATATGATATGATTTGGTCTGATCTGTTCTAATTTTAATAAAAAAGTAATAAGGAGAAAAAATAAGTCCTACGAAACGGACCCTAAACGCACTTGTTATCTTTCATTCTTTTTGAGTCTTTTTGGTTGAAGCTAGGAGAGAGGAATGAGGGATACTGAGTCCCCCCCTCTTGTTTGGTTCGAAAAATACCGTATGGAAGTAATTGCATCCAAAATTTTAGCATTAATTCCTTCTCTTCCACTCCAAATCGGGAGACTTCCCGTTCTGCTCTTTTCTTTCTCTATTTTAATCATGTTTTTTCTATTATTCTAATTAAAAATAATAAGGTTACGAAAGAGTAATAATGTTACAATAAAAAATAAAAATAATTAAACAAAAAATTAATAAATATTTAAATTAAAATAAATAATAATATTAATATTAATAATGATTGTTTAAAATAAATAATTAAGTAAATAAATAATATTAGTACTATTAAAAATTATAATTATAAATAAATAATAAAAAATAACAGTAAAAAATAAATCAATAAATAAATAAACAAAAATAAAAAATAAAATTCAAATAAAATTAATAAATAATAAATATAATTAAAACAAAAACAATATAATAAATTAATAAAAATAAAATATAAAAATATAAAAAGTTGGTACTAATTAAATAAATAATTGATAAATAAAACTAAAAATGAAAGTGAAATAAAAAAATTAAACATAAAATATTAATAAAAAATTAAAGCTTTCCTCTATTCCCCTCCGCCAACCAATCTAGATGGAAGGAATCCCTCTCATCCCTTCTCATTCCTTACCATCTTTTCTTTCCGCTCCCCTACCTCCCAACTAAACAAGCCATTATTGGAACGTACACATCTTTGCCAACAGTCATGTAAGGCAACAGACGTTGAAATTGTGTCACACTTGTGTGAAAAGTTCATTATTTTTAATTGGCAGGGACGAATCCATGCAAAAATTCGTCCTAGTCAATGTATAAGACTAATTGGGATGGTTGAATTTGATGGGAAATTATGTGTCACATGATCATGATATATGTGATTGGTGCGGGTAAACAACATGATGTTTTACATATTGCCAGGAGACGAAAAATTATAGTGTTATATCCACATAAAGGATCATGCTTTAGAGTTGTAGCATATGCGCATTAAGGGCATCCCCAATGCACAGAGTCATAAGACTCTCACAGACTGTGTAACCTTAGCATTTCATTATATATAAGACTCTTCTCCAAACTTTGGGAAAAATAACCTCAATTCACACATTCTCCCAGATTTTGCCACATAAACACTTCACTATCTTTTATTCCCTTACATTTATTATTTATGTTAAATCAATTGTTGAACCAAACATTGATTTTTCTATCAAATCGATTTTTCTATCAAATTTATTTGTGAGCTCTTTATAAGTAAAAAAACATAAGCAGGTTTTACCTACTTTCTTTTAAATCCGTTGTTTCGTCTTCTCGTTTTGACCCATCATTTACAAAATTATACTCCTCCGTCTTAAAAAGATTTACACATTTTGACTAAAATTGAAATTAAGGGAGAGATAATTTTGTGTTGACTTTCCAAAAATACCCTTGATATGATGGGTAAAAGTAGGATGTGATGTGTAAATTATTAGGAAAAAGGTAAGATGTAATAGGTAGGATTTTAAAAAGTAAGGCTAAAAGTGATTTTTTTAATAGAAATGGGAAGGAGATTGTGGGACGCAATTTTTTTTAAAACGTGTAAATCTTTTTGGGACGGAGAGAGTACCTAACTTTTAATGAAACCAAGGTTGACGTGAAAATTCTTTAACTATAGACTGACACGACGAAAACTCGTGACTTTTTGGTTTAATAAACTTGACTCGTTAACGCCTGGGTGGCATAGATTCGATCAAGTGAGTATTAATGCCAAAAGAAATAAATCCGAGTTTGGCACTTGACAACAACGATAAAGACCGTACTAGACCACCTAGGTGGTGGCGTGGTTGATTGGGGTTCCACACCAACGGTTGGGGGATTATAATCGTCAATTAATCTCAACTAGGGTTGAGTTGAATAAGACAGCAGGGTTAGAATCTCACTGTTTTTGTAGGTCATGTTACTGAGACAATAGTACAAAAGATTTGAATGACTGGTGAGGACCCTTCACCATGTCCTTTCATGTTTCT